GGTCAGGACCAGGACCAGGACCAGACCAGGACCAGGACCAGGACCAGTGTAGTGGTAAAGTTGTTGTTTCAGTTTTTGTTTCCAATTTGACCATTTCTTTGTTTGTTTTCCTCAACAACCTTTCCCACCTCAGAATCAGAATCAGAATCAGAATCAGAATCAGGTTTATTGCCAAGTAGGTTTTAAGACTTACAAGGAATTTGCCTTTTTGGTGTTTAGTGCACAACACAACACTTCTATGAGAAGCAAGAATAAAAAGTAGAAATAAAGATATAGGGCAGAATGATAAAACTGAAAAATACAATCTTTAAAAGTATAAATCTGAATGTACAAATTAACAATCTTTAAAAATATAGATTTGAATGTGCAAATTAACAATTGAAATGTGCAATGTTGATCTGCAACGACAGACCAGAAAATGCTGGAGCATTGGGTAAATTAGTGAGGTAGAGGGGGTGGGGAGAAGAATAGGTAGGGGTCGGGTGTCCAATACTCCAATACTGTGGTCTGACACCTGAAATTAAGTCCAGGAGATGGTGATTGTGTGTCTTTGATGGTTTATTGTAACACATTAAACTGGAGTATAATGTAACACTATTTAATGCAGGTAAAGGACTAGATGGCATATAATACCAGAAGGTTAGGTTCATCTACTGGAGCTGTTGTCAGTAATCAATAAAAACAATACAAAAGAATAACTGCTTTCAATATTACCTATTTTAAAGAAGGAAAAATAAGTGAACACCCCAAAACACAAACATACATGAAAACCCAAAAAATAAAGACAAAAAATATATACATACACAATACTGCAGTAAACCTTGTATATAATTGTGCACAAAGAGTCCTATCTTTCCCCAGTATTCAGCACATTGTCTGACTGACACACATTTAAAAGTCCATAATGTAATTGTCCAATTGTTTGAGATGAAAATGTCCAAGCGCAATTTGTTTCCATACAAATAATCTTGAAACTTTGTTATTTTGGTTACAATAACAAAAGTCCAAGTTTGCAGAGCCAAATCCCGCAGTGACTGTCTCAGCCTGTATCAGACCCATCACAGGCTTTTATAGGCGCAGTTCCCGCCTTCACCTGTAGGGGGAGACATGGAGACAAACTGGCATAGAAATTAAGATATGTAGAAACGGCCGTTCTTTGTTTCCTCTTTTAGAGTCTGAGCTTCATTATTGGTGTGTGTGGTCACATGACTGACCGACGCCGTCTGATTGGTGGAAATCAGTCACGTGACTGTAAAACCAAAACAAACTTCTTTTGTTGATAGTTTTCTGAGGAATGAATGAAATGAAAGCTATTTCCACTTCCCAAATAAACTCTGAGTAGTTCCAAACACCTAAATACCTCTGGTGATCAACTGGGGGGCTGGAAACTAAAAAACACGTTTTTATTTAGGCAACATCAGTCGTTTCTTGTTTGCATAAAAACACCAAAACACATCAACAGGACTCTGATCGATAAGCATCAAAGTCACAGAAACGCGGTCTAGAGACCGTCAAAGAGGTCAGGAAGGTTTTTATTTCGTATTTATTTTATATTTTTAAAGGATTTTATTTTGCTTTTCAGTAAAAAAAGAAAGAAAAGCTTTTAGGCTAGTTTTTTAGGGAATTTAAAGCACTGGGTTTGGAATTCCGGTCGATGAGGTGATTAGTGGCTTAATTTAGATGGTTGTTGAACATAAATGGTTAAAAAGGAAAAAGCTGGAGCCTTTCACACATTTATTTATTTTTATAGCACAACAACGGCACACAAAGAGTTCCCAAGAAAGAAAAACATAAAGACAGAAAATAAGGGAAATATAAACAAAAAACATAGAAAAAATGGAAATCTGAATTAAGAGTGAAAATGTAAAAGACATTAGAATAGTAGCAGGCTGCTCTCATGACTCATTTACTTTGTTTTTAGAGTAAAAAAGGCTAAAAATGTTTTGATTGTGTCCATAAAAGAGACTTTTAAAGTTGACTTCTGCATCTTTTCTGAATAATTAAACCAGTCTTTCCTGTTGAGCTGCTACCTCACATGGAGACAAACTGACTCAGATAACTAACATTATTTTCTATTTTCCCCCAAAATCTGAGGACAGACGCAGAAACGACCTGCAGCT